AGGAAGAGGTTTCTGGGGAAGGCACGGTCAAAGGGAGGACAGGCTGTTCCCGCAGACTATGGTGGGGAAGAAGTTCAGATTGGAGGCAGTATGACCACGGATAGGTTAAGACAACACACACACACACACACCACACACACACACACACAACACACACACACACACAGACACACCACACACACACACATACTGCACACTTAACCATTGCTCTGTCCATGGTGCTGAAAACAAAAGTCCTGTAGCTCTTGCTATGGTGTCAGAACATCTGCTAATGTATTATAAACAATCTGGCAGTCAAAACGTTGATGTTTAGGCCTTAAGTGATGTAATTAATTAATTGTTGTAATTCTTAAATTAATTAATTGTAAATACCCTAAAACTACACCACAGTACACTGTAAAAAAACAACAACTATGGTGTAAACAGGCTAAGCAAGGTAGTCCATCTCTTAAGGCTCTTAAGGTTTTTGGTAATTTCTCTTAAAAAGAATTGGCCTTTCCTTGTTCATTAGATGATATTTGCCACCCATGCTGACTCTGTATTGTCTTGAGTTTTCCACTAATAGACAAGCTTTTAGGAGCTAATAAATCGCAGGTGCATTGAAAAGGTCAACCAGTTAAGCGTGTGTCAAAAAGATGTAGATAGGGCCAGCATCAATTGTAAGATTAAGGGACATTTTTCAGAAATGCAGCAAACTACTATTTCATAATTCACATGTTCCATACATATATTTTCTTAATTATCTCCACCTTCCTGGGCACAAACTTATATCATATCATAGCGAAACAGTAAACTAAAATGTGTATGTTTCTGAAAACATTTTAGGCAAGAATAAGCAATGCATTTGATTTAATCAGCACTGCCTAGTTTTACAATTTAATCTGACTTTTGTGAGCCTGTGCATTGCGCTAGATGGACTCACTAAGAATGAGTTGTCACTCACAAGGTAGCCACCCCCTAAAGCATATCCTGCTTATTGTCTGTTCTACTCTAAATGGGACCTTAATTTACTAAATGAACATCTTGCTGTATTGAAGAAGACTTGAAACTAGCAATTGAGACCATAAACTCATTAGGAAACTGTTTACTGAGGTAATAAATCAAGTCGGGTCATTTTGCCATTAGGTTGAATACAATCATACTTCTTTTTGGAGCCAGTAGAGTCACCTCCCACGGGCCATTAAAACAAATGCAGCTTTAATCCACTTCCAAGTTTCAGCTTTTCTCCAATAATGTAGATTTCTATATCGATTATTTTGTTAACAACGTGTTCTAAATGAATAACGATGTTTAAATGAATTAAATTATTTATTAATAGATTACTATCTAGAGCCAATGTTTGGTTTGTCCGTTCTGGGCTACTGTAGAAACATGCATAAAAGAGTCTAAGCTATTGAAAACACAACAATTCTTATTAAGGTTATCCTACACTAATGAAGTGTTTGACTTTTAATTTGAGTGTTTTTCTAATTTCTTATTACAGTGTTTTAACATGCTCAAATTGAGTGTGATTAAAAACTTGTGGCATAAAACAGTGTGTGGAAAGCGCACACATAATTACAAGTGACAGGCTTAGTTCAGTAAATTGCACTGGAAAAGAGTATTGCATGTTTATGTATTATGTTTTTTAAAATTGATGAAAAAACGCCAACCTTAAATCCACCCACACTTTTATTCATGGTATCAGTAATCTGTGATGTTCAATGTATTTTGGGAGATTTTGTAAATTACTTTTTTGTGTAACTTCTTTACCAGAGGATGGATGCACAGAAAATACACAATCAAGGATAAAAAAAGAACAAAACAGGCCCAGTCATTAATGAAAGGGCATTAACACTGTGAATGGTCAGCTGTTTAAAGGTCACTTTTACACACTTTAAATACTGTATATGCTGACCATGATGAATCTGCCATCCATGCTACTGTGACAGATTTGAATGGAACCCTTCAACTGGGACTCAAAATGGGTCAACATTCCTGTTTAGACTTTAATTTGATTAACAGATGGCACATTTCATGTTCTGTGGTCTGGAGGCAACAAAATCTGCAGCAGCATTACAGAAAACATCTGGACATTGTGTGAAAACGTTCAATGAGTCAGCAATTACATATATTGGAAAAGGACAAGTTTGCCATAAATATCTCTCTATTCCTTACGTGTTTATCATGCATCTCCTGGGACCTATTTCTGGAGCAATTGGGGCATTCTCCCTTTTCAAAGGGTTGTTGGGGGATTGAGGTTACCTCAGAGTAGGTGTGAAGAGATGAAAAAGGCCGGAATCTCTAAATACCCCATTTAAATGCATTGTGAGAAAAAGATAGGGGAAGGTGGGAAAGAAAGGGCCAGATAGCGAGGGAGACGGATGGTAGAGCATACACTAAAGGACAGCAAAGTGGAGATGGCAGAGCGTGTCTTTCAGAGAGGTAGAGAGAAAAAGAACGAGGATAGTGAGGGAGGGAGGGAGATGAGCCTGATATTGAGCCCCACTCACTCATAAATCCTAAAAAACTCAGAACCCTCAGATACCTATTTCTATTGCATCAAAAGGGCCTTCTGCCTCCCTTGTCCTTCCGCTCTGACGCTATGTATGGTTGTTTCCCTCTCTGATATTAAACTGGGATGCTTGCTGTTCATTTTTAATCATCAGCATGTGTTTATTGTTTCTGTTAATAGTTCATCATCAGAAACACTGAGCACCTTTTTAAAGACACAGTGGGTCCCTGAGTTAATCGCTATCTCTTGTTATATGGCAAATACAAGTCAAAATCTGTCAATTATAAGAGAGAGGGAGTTGTGTGTTTGGATGTTAATTGGAAAACCTTTGTTTAGAATGTGGTTGAGGTCTTCTTTGACCTTCTGATTTACTAACACACATGTTGTCTTAGACGACAACTCAAAATGTTTCGGTCCAGTTTTAGCTTACAAAAAGTTAGTCCGTTTTTTTTTGTCAATGTTATTGTAGGTACTGGAAACTGGACTAAAGGTGACAGTATCAAATGTTTGGTAAAGCAACATTTAACTCTCTTAACACTTAATGATGTGCGGGCAACCCACAACCCGTGGGTAGGGTGCATTCGGGTCAAAGCGTTCTGATAAGTTATTAATAACTTACAGAAATATTGCGTACAATAGTCCACCTTCCACCTTCTCTTCCTCTGTTGCTGTCACTCTCTTTCTCTATCAAACACACACACAGCAGTGCTGTGAATTTCAGCAACAAGCGCAACCAGTGGGTAGCTCAGCTGGTCGCTGCTTGCAGTGTGACGAAATAGGTTAAATCCAGGAACTGTGGACTCTATTCTTTTTCTGCACATTGCAGCCAGACACTAGGCTGGAAAAGACAGGAGGCGAGGCTAGACTTGCACATTTTCTTGTGTGAGAAAGAGAAAGAGAGAGAGAGAAAAAAAGAGACAGTTCAAGTCTTTAGCAGCAGGATCATCCCGATAAAAAGTGCCAGTCCTGACAATTGTGCCTTCATAATGAATAAAGGTGGTTTGCGGGTTGGGTCTCTTACTTATTGGGGGAAAATATGATGCATTTTTTGACTGTCTGATTGCCCACCACTAACATTTCTGTCCTGTCTTATCTTGTCAATGAAAAGAAAACATAAATTTCATCATATTTTTTATTATCAAAGGCCATTTATAGGTATTTTAGTGTATAATCACCTGAATATAGGAATCATTGTGTTTTTGTTAATTTAGATTAAGCCATTTGTATCTACAGAAGCCGCCGGTTGCCTTCCACGTGGGCCACCATATTTCTACAGTATCCTAGAACGGCAAATTAAACTATATACCTGCTTAAAATGTTGACAAATAAAATATTTTTAAATTTTCAAGTTCTCGCACTTAGATAGACATATACATAAAGTGGATTTAATTATAATTATGTCTAATGATCAAAATTAAACTATATTATACAGTACAATATATTTAATATATAATATAATAACATGCTCATTTCTGAATCTACTGAAGCATTTCAAAGCTAATCTCACCCTCATCCCTAGATTCATCAACAGTGATAGAACAGCAGAATAACACAGGATGACACAGTATCACACACACTGGGACACACTAAAACACACAGAGTTGTTTATCTGAAGGCAACCATTGAGGCGTCACTGACAGTTAGGGCAATATGTCTCAGCCTAGTGAAGCAGGAATAACAGCACTGTCTACAATTAAGTAACCCTACTGCGCTCTCTCTCTCTCTCTCTCTCTCTCTCTCTCTCTCTCTGCCACTGTACATCACCCATGAGTCATGACTCTGAAAGTGCTATCCCTCTTTATCTATCTATGCCTCCAAGTCTTTGCTCTCCTCTCTGCCAGGTTTTAAAGAGCAATGGTGGAGACTGGGATAGACAAAAAAATGGGATGATGAAAAAAGCAGTTTCAGTTTGGGAGAGGGAATGGGTAAAGGCAGCTAGCAAGCAAGAGAGAGAGAGAGAAAGCAGGTGGCCATGTGAAAGAGGCACAGTTTAAACCATCACTGACTCTCTTGGCTGTTATCTGTCACCCCACTGCTCCTCTCTCTCTCAGCATGGTCAGGGCTGACTGCAACCAACAGTTCAGCTCCAACTGGTGCTCAAGGGGACAGAGAGAGGGGAGGAAAGACAAAGGGGTAGTGTAAAAGTTAACAGAAAAAAAATAGGAAAGATGAGTGTATGAGCGACTGATGGAGAAAATGAAGGCGAAAAGCAAAGACTATTGAGTGAATTCATTAAGAGTACAATGAGTGATGCAGTGTTGAAATGCTGCTGGCTGTGGGCAAATGGCTAATATGAGTTTTTGTTGGGGAGGTGTGTGGTATCCGCATGTTATTATAAATCATTGTACTGTTTAAGGTAAATAAAAAAACTCTCCAGACTACTGAGAGTCCAGCATCAGTAGTCATCATCTTCCCCACTCCTTTACACACACATAGCACACATGCTGCTGGCCTGTATG